ACTTCTCAGTAGAGATGTCCTACCCCATCTGGCACAGCTGCTCCGAGGAAAGTATGATTTGTCCAAAAGTAAATACCAAGCGTTTTTCATCAGTAGATCTCACAGCGCTTTACAAAGGAGGTAACATCACTATCTCCATTTTACAGACTGGGGATTCTGAGGCAGAGGGGATGAAAAGACTTGGCCAAAGTCACTCCACTGTTTAGTGGCTGAGCTGAGAATAGAAGCCAGGTCTCCTGAGGCCCAGTCCAATGCTTTATTCACTAGGTCACACTGCTGCCGTATGAAACCATTAGTTCAGAAGTCACCCAGGTTTTTGCTTGTTTTTTCTTTCCCTGCCTTCCCCTCTTCTCCAGGTTTCGTTTTGGCTAGGGAATGTTTTATCTTCCTGTTCCTTCTGTCCACCTTGGTCTAAAGTTCTGGCCCAACACATGATAAAGTCAAGGTCCGTTGCCCTAGCAACAGATGGGCTAATTGTGAAGACTTGAGTGAGTCTCCCTGATCCTCCAGCATTGTGTAGTGGCAATGAGGCTTCCACACAATGCTGTCCGTGGGAGGTGGGTGGAGTATCATCTCTACTATAGATATGTCTGTCTCAGTGTTCTTAATTTGGGTGAGCTGACAGGTATTGGTTTAACCTGGGTTAAAATAGCAGTGACTGTATGACAACTCAGGTTCAACCCCCAGCTTAACATGAGTGAAAAGCAGAGTTGGCATCTCTTCACTGCTGTTTTTTAACCTAAGTAAAGAACACACCTTTGTTTTGTGGTGTAGACTCTCGGTGTAAGGCTGTCAGCACAACACCCCCTTCTTCCTTATGTTTTCTTGTTAATGAAACCGGTGTGGGTTCTTTGCAGCTGAAAGGTGCGGGAGACTGGTAGGTCCCAAAACAGTAATATACATTTGACAAACTTCATTCTACTCTTCAAGCTGTATGTTGCTGTTTAATGATAGATCCCAGTACAGTCATCCACTGCCCCTCCATAGATCATAGAATCCTAAACATTAGTGCTAGAAAGTCCCTTTTAGATCTCCTCTAGCCTAGTTCAGGTGGCTTCCTATGCCAGCGGTTTTGAAACTGGGGGTAGTGACCCAGGACTGGGTCGCAGAATGTAAGGCACTGGGTCACCGCAGCTCTGGTCAGCACCACCAACCAGGCCATTAAAAGTCCCATTGGTGCTGCCCAGCTAAGGCAGGCTCGTTCCTACCTGTTCTGACACTGCACTGCACCGTGCCTCAGAAATGACCAGCAGCAGGTCCAGCTCCTAGGCGGGGGGGCCATGGGGCTCTGCACGCTAGCCCCACCCCGAGCACTGGCTCTGAACTCCCATTGGCCAAGCTGGAGGGGGCAGTGCCTACAGGTGAGCCACATGGAGCTGTTTGCACATGCCTCTGCTTCCAGGGCACAGCGCAGTCTACGGGGCCAGGATAGGCAGGAAGCCTGCCTTAGCACCCCCGCTGCGCTGCTGACTGGGAGCCCCTTCTTGCACCCCAAACCCCTCGTCCCTAGCCCCACGCTAGAACCTGCCACGCCCAGCCCAGAGCCCTGACCCCCTCCCACGCCCCAGCCCTGAGCCCCCTGAAATCCAGAGCCATCTCCTGCACCCCAAACCCCTCACCCCTGGCCCCACCCCAGAGCCTGCACCTCCAGTCCAGAGCCCCCTCCTGCACCACAACTCCCTGCCCCAGCCCAGAGCCCCCCTTCCTCCCCTGAACCCTCATTCCCGGGCCCACTCCGCAGCTCTCACCTCCACATCCCAAACCCCTCATCCCAAGCTCCATTGGGTCACGGGCATCAACAATTTTCTTCAAGTACGTCGCCAGAAAAAAAGTTTGACAACCACTGTCCTGTTCTATATTCTGTAGGACTTTTTCAACCTAGCTCTAGATGATTTAAGAATAGGAGGGTTGTTATGCCCTATTTGTCAATTGTGTGGTGTATGCAGAGGCTCGTCTCTGGCTAAGTGGCTGTAATGTGTGCCTCAGTTGAAAGATTGGAACTGATTGGGGAATAATCTCCCAAAGAGAGGGGATGGGAGCCCCATCACTTGATATGCATTTAAAACTGGACCTGACAAAAACGTAATGTTCCGGAGAGAACGATCTAGCATTGGTCCTAGAGAGATGGATGGGATGACCTATGGGGCCTCTTCCATAGCTAGATACATGAATAATATAGTGAGTGTAACCGTGCAGACCAGACTCAGATTTCCTCCCTTAGTGGGGTGATTGGTTTGTGCAACTTTTCTCAGTAATGGGAAAGGGAAGTTGAGAAATTAAATGGCCACTGTTAGATGGGGGCAGCAACCTCCTCATGCAGTTAACTTTAAGCCATTTCCTACTCTAGCTCTGTATAGCACCAGTGATGCACAGCAAAGGGTTTATTTGGCGTCGTGAAGGGGGGTGGGTATTGAAAGCTGCTCAACATGCTTTTCCAGCTTGCTGCTCTTTCAGTTAGTTGCCCTGGCGACACACACGGGGCTAGGTGTTAACTCTGGGTGCCTGCATTCATTCTTGGCTTGCTCTGCCAGTTAGACTTGAAAACAGGTTGCCCTAGGTTCACTCTCCAGAACTGAACTTTCTGTGTAATTAACCCCCTCGGATTCTTTCTGAAACACCCAGTAATCCTTGGTTTATAATTATCTGCAGTTCCTCGCAATGCTGGTGTAACGCCGACCGACCCTGGTCGTCGGCAGGCAGGATCGAACCTGGGGCCTCTGGAGCTTAAAGCATGCGCCTCTACTGCATGAGCTAAAAAGCAACTGGCTGTTAGCTAAGGCTGTAGAGCAGACTCATTTTATCTCTCTCTAAGTGGTCTCAGTGCCACTAGATGGGACAGAGCACCCCACCCAGGAAATGTGTGGGTTACACTGGTACAAAACCCCCTAGCTTAGAACTAGAGCCACCTGAGACTCTTTTCCTTTAATCCCCCAGGCACCACATCCTCATGTCGTCGGCACAGACTATGCACAGCAAAAAAAAAGCTAGAGCTGTGCATGAGCAGAGCTTTTCCCTGAGCTCTGTGGGCCTCAGATCTGGGGCGCTGGTTCAGGCCCACGTCATGCTGTCAGCAGTTTTGGTGTGGGCAGTAATGGAGCCAGGACCGGCTCCAGGGTTTTTGCCGCCCCAAGCGGCAGAGGGGTGGGGGTGGGGGGAAGCTGCGATCGCAATTGCGATCAGCGGCACTCTGGCGGCAGCTCCACCGCGCTGCTTTCTTCTTCGGTGGGAATTCGGCAGCAGGTGCTTCCCTCCGAGAGGGACCCGCCGTCAAATTGCTGCCAGACAGCCCGAGGTGCCGCCCCTTCCCCTTGGCCGCCCCAAGCACCTGCTTGCTGGGCTGGTGCCTGGAGCCGGCCCTGAATGGAGCTGATCACAAAATCTGAGACTGAAGCACTTGAACTGGGCTCAGTCTTCTTGCTGCGCTGACCTTGCTTTGACTGAATGTGCAGGCTAGCAGCAGACTTCCTGGGTGGGGGTCAGGGTAGAAGAGTCACTCTCCTTGCCTGCCTCTGCAGAGAGGTGTGGAAGGGGAGAAGGAAGGCGGCCCAAAGGTTCAGTAACCTTTTGAGCTTACTGAAGCAGCAGAGGCCAATCCCATTAGCAGGAACCAGGTCAAATTGCTGTCATTTCCCCTTGACTTGGGGAAGGGGGAGGGAGGAGAAGTTGGCTTGCCAAGAATGAAGGGGAAGAGGGTTAGATGCTCTCTGAGGGAAGAGGAGAGGTCATGTGACTCCTATCTGTGTGGCTGAACCTGGCTGTGCCCACAGAAAGCCAAACTGCAGATTCCCCAGGAACACAGAGTGCTGCCTGGTGCTGGCCTGACCAACCCTGGCTTTGAGATGAGTTTTGCCCCGAGGCAGCTTGTGCAGCTGCAGCAGTAAATACTATTGCTGAAGCTGGCTGGGCCAGGTCACTTTATACCAAAAAGTAGATGGATGGATGGCTGATCCAGGCAGGTTACAGTAACCTTGGGTTGGCTTGGAAATGCTGAGTCCAGCACCACATCAGTGGGGGTGACAAAATGGGCACCACTGAACTTGATGGTGTGTGTGTGTAGGGGGGTGGAGCATTTCAAATGCTTACAGTGGAAATCAATTCTGCTCCTGACTCTAATGCAATCTCTAGTTTTCCCCATGCTCCTTCTGACCTGATCCTTCCCCTCTCCCCTGGCTGCTGCTGCTGTATCCAGAGTAGTGACTGAGGAGGACCTGAGACTCTTTTTGGCCAGTGGAAGTGTGTGTGTGTGGTTTTGGGGGGGGGGGGGGGGACTGACCATGAGGAAGGTGCTGCTGAGTGTGACTAGCGTGCTCTGTTTATCAGGCTGCCATTCATATCCACCGAGAATGTGGTGGTGGGGTATTTAGTGATGGGGAGGGAGATTTAGAGCAAGGTGTGTTCGGGGTTTACCATTTGCATCCTGAGATGCAGCTGGGCTCTCCAGTTAGTAGGATGGGTCAGTAAATTACCAGCAAGGGGTCTTGGCTGCTGCCCTCACCCAAGGCTGAGTAGGGAAACCCTTGCTGGCCCCTGCACAGTGCAGGGGGGGTGGGGAGGCTAGTGCCATGACTCGGGTTCTGATTCCCACAGCGCTGGGTGCAGATACAATGGTCTGTCCGGGTGGGTCTCAGGGAGGAAGCTGGCCAAACTTCCATCTGCACCACCTTTCCAGTCAACTCTGGCTCCTTGAAAAGAGGCGGAGGGAGTCCGCGCACCTCCCTGTGTGTAATCTTGCCCTAATGCCCAGCATCTGAACTTGGTCAGTCACTGCGGATCTCAATGTACTTTGCAAATACCCTGGGCTTTGAGGCTTCGTTAGTAAGTCAGTGCGTTTAGCCTCTCTACTGAGAGGGGAAACCACTTGCCCAAGCCTGCAGAGCGAGTTGCACAGCCAGGCTGATAGTCTCCCATCTTTAACCCTGGAGAAGCAAGTGCAAACTCCCAGAGCATGGGCAGCAATCTTGACTGACCTGTGTTTAACCCTCTTGTCTTTCCTTTGCCAGCTGAAAGCAGAAGTGTCCGTCGTGGTCCGTGACCTCATTCGGGATTATGACCCTAATGATCAAGACAAAAAGAGCATCCAGGATGCATGGGACTATGTGCAGGAACGGGTGAGTAATCAAGTGAGGGATGGTGAGGAGAAAAGACAATGCTGGATGTGGTGGTGGGGTGGCAAACATTGGCATTGGACAAAAGTGAGGTGCTGCTAGTCAGACTGAAAGTAGAGGAGGTGCTGGGTAAACTCTAGCAACCCCTTAACTTGAATGCCTCCCAGCCTGTCTCATGGCCCCCACTATTCCAGTCCTATGCACCCCTCTTCAGTGCTGACATGCAGCCCTTATGCCCTCCAGCCTCCTTGCCAATGGACTCCAGGAATACCTTCCCTAGCCAATTGCCTTTTGTGTTGAATCTCTCTATTCACGGATTTCAAGGCCAGAAGGAACCATTGTGATCCTCTAGTTTGACCACCTGCGTTACACAGGCCACAGAACTTCCCCAAAGTAATTGCTAGAGCAGAGCTTTTAGAAAAACATCCAATCTTAATTTTAAAAATGGCCGGTGATGGAGAACCGACTAACCACTGGAACAATTTACCCAGGATCATAATTACTCTCCCTGTTAAACATTTCTTCCAGTCTGGCCCTGTGGCTCTTGCCTGGCATTGCTCTCACCATGCTAGTGTCCAGCTGCAGCACTTGGCTTGTGCACTAGGAAGCTGTTACTGGAAAGGACTTCCTTGTACTCATTCGTGTTTGTAGAACTGTGCCTGTTGAGGAGAGGAACCGCACTGGGCCCTGCCATCTGGCCAAGCAGCACAGCCAGCTGTACAGGGTTTGAGTGCCTACCTGCCGAGAGACCATGTTGGCTGCTGCTCTCAGGCAAGGCCGTGCAGCTACCTGACCCAAAGGGGTAGGGGTGGAGAGTGAGTACTGCATAGTAGGTAGGACAAAGGGGATGTGAGCCTTACTCTCCAGAGGCACTCCACTCCCACTACTTGGCACTCCTTTATCCCAACACTAAGCTATGCCTTAATACTCCACTGACACCTTTTGCTGGGATTAACTTCTTGGTAGTGAACTAAACTGAAGGTTTAATGCCAGGCAGCCCAGCTGAATCTGTTGCCCTACTCCTTAGGGGGTAGTATCTTATCTGCAGGTGCCAGCATTGCTGGGAGCCATCCAGCTGCCCATGGGTTCTGCTCTTGGCATCAAGGTCACTGTCTGAGCAGCTGGTGGGGAAAGCTAATGTCCTGGTTCAGCATTCGGGCATGCCAGAGTCATGTTTGCATAGCTCCAGTACTGTGATGGGAGCTTTGCAGGCAAACAGGAGAGTAAGGGCCCTGCCTTTGAGAGCTTGCAATCTAGCCAGGATAAACACAAACCAAGGATCAGGAAGGGATGCAGTAAAAACAAGGGACTCTCTAATTCCATGGCTCTTGTTTGTTTCAATGTTTATGCTTTCTGGAAAGAGCATACTCTAAGAGGTTTGGCTGGGAGAGTGGAGGCATGACCAGACCAAGTCAGAGAGGGGGTTCCAGGCATAGAGGAGAAGGAGATAGGACAAAAAGAAAAAAGGGTGAGCTTGAGGAGAGCCATGTTGGCAAGAGGGCAGTGAATCTGAATGTGTTGGCTCCCCCAGCAGCTGAAATGGGGCAGTGTTGTAAAATCAAAGCACTCCTGACTCCAGGTGTCTAAATCAGCCTCTTAACGTTTCAGTTTTCGTCCTGACTATTGGGGATTGACACTCCCATGCACCAAAAAGCACTTCACATGGTCTATGGGACAGATGATGATGGGGAGTCACATTGTGTAGGTCTCCATTTGGATGCTAAAGGAAAAATCCAAGCCACAATCTACTATCATAGTCAGGCCTCTTTGACAGCCTTACAGAGAACTGTCTGGGCCATGTAGATGGAGTCCCCTGTCCTCCTTAGAATCCATTTCAGCAGCAGGGAAGCTTGCATCCCCAAAGCCTGTCATGTGAGTAAACAGGAGTTAAGTGTCTGGGATCCAATTCTGTTCATCAGCACTAGAGGCCCTGTGTGAGCATGGGAGGATGTGTGTCACAGTGGGTATTGTGTGTGGAGCATCTCTGGAATATCCCATCATTGCACAGCTCGCTCGTGCTGTCCAGACTCCAGATCTCCTTGCATTAGAGTTAGCTCCTCCTGGGGACTTTTTTAGTGGAATTAAATGTTCCAATTTGAGTCTTAAATATCAGATGCTGGCTCTAAATTGGAGTCTTTACATTGTTCAAGCACCAGCTCTGGCATTTTCAGGACTCCACTTCATTACATTGTCACCTTGTTTAATAAATAAATCCAATTTAAGCCAGAGGACTTGCTAGGCCAAGCATCTGAATCCCTCCCTGGTTTCCACCTGGTGAGCTTCTGGTAACCTTGTAGTTCAGATGTTATGGTGGATGCACTTAGCGACTGAATGATGTGTGTTGTGTATAAGACAACCAACTAGACCATAAATACTGATGTACATGGCCTTGGGTAGACCTCATGGGGGAATATGCTTCCCACTGAAGCAATCAGCTTTCCATGTGTAGATGGAGGCAGATAATTGTCTGGCTCCTGAGATCTTTTTGCAGATGAAACAAAATTTCTCCCAGTCCTGTTTCTTCTTCACCACCCCTTTAGCCCACACATTCTGCTTTGAAACAGCTGACTCAAGCTGTTTCCATGCATCTGAAGAAGTGGGTTTTTACCAACAAAAGCTTATGCCCAAATAAACCCATTAGTCTTTAAGGTACCACTGGACTCCTCGTTGTTTTTTCAAGCTATAATTGATGACTAGAGGTGGGTCCAAAGTTTTGGGTAGACGTGGTAGCAGGTTGGCTCCATCTTGTGGTGGCCAGCTGTTACTGTAGCACTTAAATTTCAGAGGCTGAAGATCTGGGCAGAAGATGATGAACCTTGCATTGATTTAACTGACAAAAAAGTTCTGTTACTTTAAGGTTGTTACTTCACATGTTCTCCAAAATGTTCTGGTTTCTTACACCCAAGGCATCTAATATTATGTAAATGGCACACTTAAGGAGAAGATCAAATAAATATTCAGTCTGTATAATCTCCAGTAAAAACATGTAAAAATACTGCTTAACTGTGTCCCCTATGTGGTCTACAGATTTGATTCTGGGCAGGGATTACCTTGCCAACATAAAGGCCACAAAGTCTCTCAAACTCCCCAAGCATGCCCTCTGTCATCCTCCTGTTCTCACCCATTATTAGCCAGAAACCTTGCCATCTTGCCCTGTTGCATTTTGTGGTAGCACCCTTGCATTCAGCACCTGGCTTCGTTATGAACTGGGGGTAAGAGGAGGTCTGTCAGTGAAGGATAGCCTCTCTTTAAAAACTACAGGGGAAACTAGTAAAGACCTGAGTTACACAATCTTGTGTGACTCTACACCAGTACTAGAGGGTTTTGGGGGTATTTTTAAGGGGGGGGGAAAATGGGTGAGCCAGAACACACTTCAGATACTATCACTCATAAAGTGACAGTACCAGAATGCCTTACTACGAGTGTGTAGCAGCATGACTTGAGCCCTGCTCTAAAACCATACAACTTGATGGACCCCTAAATGTCTGCCTGTGCCTTCTTCCTAGAGGTGAGGCTCCATGAAGGCTAACATGCTCCAGCACACTAGCTGCTCTGCATGCTGGTTCTTGTAGTCTCTGTCTCTTACACCTCTGGATTGAAGATGGGAGGCTGCAGTTTCCTCTCTTTAAGCACATTAGGTGTGGCCCTCTAACTCATGGCTAGCTGCCAAAATGGCCCTCAGGTAGATAAAGTGTGGATGGGTGCCTCTGTTCTAAATGGTTACCCCATGCACACATACTTCTGGTATGACCTGGGATGCTAGAGGCATGTTAATGTTATGGGAGAAATCAAAATCCAGCCCTTGCACTTCCCATTTTGTTGCTTACCGGCAATAGATATTGCATGGAGAAGGCCTGTCCCTACCCGCTGTCAGCCCCTCCCTCTCTTTTTACCAGCCAAAATATCTGAAAGAATAAATGGGAATGCTTTCTTTGCTCTTAGCTCACTTGCTGTGGCTGGACTGGGCCACAGAACTGGACAGAAAATAAGATCCTCCTGAACGGAAGCCTGACTTTATACCCCTGCTCCTGCGTCAATGGTTCAGTTGATGATGTCCAGCATAAGAGTGGTTTCTGTGGCACCGCTGCTAATAAGACTGTGTCATTTGCTGACTGGCCTGTTTATACAAAGGTGAGTACTTGAGCCTCATGGGACCTGCATGGGAAGTGTCCATTGTGTGATTCCCTGGTAGTATTCTAAGAAGTTAGAGACAGAAAACTGTTATTGAGGTGATCTTGTCTTTAGACTCCTGGAGACACAGCAGAGCCCTTCTAGGATACATTTTCAAGGGCTTGGCCCTGTTCTCTCTGAAATGTCCTAAGCAATGGGGCTTCCACCCCTTCTCTGCTGATGCCGTTCTACAGCCTGATAAATCTCACTGTCATGAAAGTCCATGTCATTTCATGTTTCAGAAGGAGAAACAGGAGCCGTTCCCTTTTCCCAAAGGACATAATGACTATACAGGGTAAGACCAATGGTCCATCTAGTCCAGTATCTGGTCTCTGAAAGTGACCAGTAGCAGAGCTTCAGGGGGAGTGTAGAGAACAGGACAATTGAAGTGATCTATCCCATCTTCCCCTCGCACCTTCTGGCAGTCAGAGGTTTAGGGTTGCCTCGAGCATGGGGATTACATCGCTGACTATCTTGGCTAATAGTCATTGATGGACCTATCCCCCATGCACTTACCTAGTTTGTGTTTTTTTTTTGAACCCTGTCATACTTTTGCCCATTGCAGCATCCCATGGCAATGACTTCCAGAGGTTAATTGTGCTTAGTGTAGGGAAAACTACTTCCTCTTGTTTGCATTAAACCTGCTGCCTATTGATTTCATTGGGTGACCCCTGGCTCTTGTGTTATGTGTAGGGGTAAATAATGCTTCCTTTTTTCACTTTTTCCACACCATTCATGATTTTATAGACCTATATCCTATTCTCTTCCCCCCCCCCCTGCCTCCCCCAATCATCTTTTCTAAGCTGAACAGGCCCACTGTGTCTCTTGTATAGCAGCTGTTCCACACCCCTAATCATTTTTGTTGTCATTCTCTGTACTTTTGCCAATTATAATATCTGTTTTGAAATGAGGCAACCAGAACTGGAGTGTCCATTGTATTCAAGGCGACAGTATTCACGGCATGGGTGTACCTTGAATTTATATATTGATATTTTCTGTCTTATCTTCTATTACTTTCCTAATAGTTTGTAACTTTTGTTAGCCTTTTTGTCCATTGCTATCCATTGAGCTGAAGTTTTCAGAGAACTATCCATGGTTCTCTTAAGATCTTTGAGTGGTAACAGCTAATTTAGAACCCATCACTATGTGTGTAGCTGGGATTATTTTTTCCAATGTACATTATTTTGCACTTATCAGTATTGAATTTCATATGTCAATTTGTCACCCAATTTCATGAGATTCCCTCTTTAACTCTTCCCACTCAGCTATGGACTTACAAAATTATTCGAGATCGTTATCATCTGTAAACTTTGCCACTTCACTGTTCACCCCCTTTTCCATCCCATGCACAGGTCCCAGTACAGATCCTTGGGGGACTCTCTCTCTCTCTCTCAATTATGAAAACTAATAATTTATTCCTACTGTTTGTTTCCTATCTTTTTAACCAGTTACTGATTTATGAGATGACCTTCTCTCCTGTCCCATAACTACTTAGTTTTCCTTAAGAACCTATGAGGGACCTTATTATCAAAAGCTTTCTGAAAATCCAAGTACTGTATCAGCTGCATCACCCTTATGCACATATTTGTTGACATTCTGGTAGCCTGATGAGGCATGACTTCCCTTTACAAAAGCTTTGTTGACTCTTCCCCAACAAATCATGTTTATCTGTATCTGATAATTCTGTTGCACCCTTCAGATGTTTGTTTGACTCTTGCCCTACTTCTACTTCCCCATGTAATTGTTTCCCTCCTAGGGTTGCATGAGTAGTGTGCAGAGCTGGTTACAGGACAACCTTGGCATCATCCTTGGAGTCTGCACAGGTGTTGCTGTCATTGAGGTGAGTCTCCACTACCCCCTGCACTCTCTAACCTAAACACTGGGTCACTTCTCTTCAGGCTCTGGAGACCTGGCCAGGGTGGGACCACAGCTCTGATGCTCATTGGGATGGGTT